TATTTTGTAACAGAGAATCCTGATCAGACTCATCTCTTTTAGCACTCTTTAAAGTGTTTTTACCCTGTCCTTGAGTGATCAGACAGCAGCAACCAGGGAGTCAGCCCATCGGCCATTTTTTTAAGTGTGTCCTTTGAGCATGATGAGCCTTCTGGGATATATATTTCATGGGACTGTCAGCCATTTTTTAAAAAAGTTTGTCCTCTGAGCATGTGCACAAGTGCTGATGAGCCTGCTGGGGTACATAGTTCACTGCTGTCCTCCCTCTCTAAACTTTTCAATTAACCCCTTCATCTAAGCACAGACTGGAGAGCTGATTCCCCACCACCACCACCATCTGGAATGTATATTGTTCTATTTATTGATCTGTTTTTAGGTAGTTTTAATGTTGGTTTTAATTTAAATCACTTACTGTATGTTATTTTGTTGTAAGCTGCCCTGACCCCTACTTGTAAGGGAAGGGTAGCCTAGTAAATCTAACTTAATAAATAAATAGAATAGAATAATGAAGTAGCACCATAAGTATTTTTCCTCTTTGTATAATTAATTTGAAAGGGAATACCCAGTAATAGTTTATCTTGGCTTCCTGTGATTTTTTGGGTAACTAGATGCAGAGTGCATCTCCTCCTAAGCATTTCAGAGCTTTGGTATTGCGTAAACATCATTTTGTTTTCCTTATAACTTAAGGATGGGACTTTCCAGACTTGCTTGAGGAACTGATCTTTACTGCATATTGTGTGAAACATAGAACAATCTCTCCGGTTGTTGAAGTACCTCTTACAATTCTATGAGCTCTTTCAAAGTCGGTTCTATTTAGGGGCTTGTCTGGGACCAGGGAGTTAAACCAGTTGATAAGAAATCCCACCGTATTGTCTTCTTCCTCATGCTCCTACACCCCACGAATGTGAATGTTTGTATGATGATCTCTATCCACCAGGTCTGCTATTTTTAATCTCATAGTTCTATTTTGGTTCTCCAATTTTATAATTTTCTCGTGGTGAACTTTGCTCATATCATATGCTTCTTCAGCAGTCTCTGTTACATTTTTTACATTATCAACCAGTTCCTTTAATTGGTTATTTATTGGTTTTAACAATTCCCTCCCTCCATCCATTAGTTCTTGCTTCAAATCCCATTTTAATTGCAATAATTGGTTTTCCATACCTTTTAAGATACTTGCAGTCTCATTCTCCATGTTTTCTTTCTGTTCGAGTTTGGCAGCCATGTTATCAGCTTGGTTCTGCTGTGGAGGATTTTCCACAATTTTTTCCCCTCATGTTGTCAACTCGACATCTGTCATGAAACGTTTTCCAACAGGCTATTCATAACACTGAGGAGTAACACATAACAATGTCAGGATGGCTTACCAAAGGGATTCCTTTTCTGCATCCCATACGATAAATAATATTGTTGGAGTCAGGATGGGGTTAAATGTGATAGTGTAGAAAGCAAGAGAGAGATTCAGTGAAGGTATTAGCTGAAGAAACATCTTGCAGGAAACCATTTTTTCATAACATTATTACTCATTTTCAGAGACACAACAAAACTGATCTAGAGCCACAAAACTGAAACGTGGCTTTTGTCTCCGTTGTTGATTCTTGTGTCCTTTCTTTTCCAGTTTGGCATTGGTGTTACCACCTTATAGCTTTTACTACATAAAAGCCACCATTGACGAGGCACTAATCCAGGCTAAGTGTAAGTAACCATGAACATTCTCCAGATTCTGAACATAACAGTGCAGTATGTAGAGGTTTGGTGTTTTTTAATGCCGTATTTTGAAAATCATTAAAAACTTTGGACTTTCACTAGTGTTACCATTATGTGCCCCCGGTTCTGTAGCAATGATTCTAGAGTGTCAGTGTGCAAGGTACAAAAATATTCTACAGAAATAGAATATGTTCTGTTACCTTTCTTGCACAATTGATACTTTCTCTTCCCCACCTCCTTACTTCTATACCTACAGAATCATTGCTTGGCGTATCCCCTGTTGCTGTCTTTTTACGGGTCTGGTAGCTAATGTTTTAAACAGCCCGCCTTCAGGGTCGAGTTGTGTGATCTGCAGTCCAGTAGAGCTGTTTTGTTTAGTATGTTGTAGCTGCAAGTCTTTATGTAGTAGACACCTCTACTCCCCTCTGGCTCAAAAGGAAGAATTAGGATTAGGTTTGGACTGTAGCTGAGTTTGGAATACTGCACAATGTATCTGATATGAATGGATACCTGCTATGTCTAGGCTGGAATCATGATCCGGAAATTCTAAAGGTGGCCTTTCCGATGTAAATGAATGGCACTGAACATTTCCAGCTATTACATTTGAAAGCTTAACTCTTTGTGCTTTGCTATATTTATTTATATCTCAACTGTGCTGAATTCATTAGAGCAAAATTCAGCTATTGCTGTAAATAAAGGGTTGCCATGAGTGTCTCCAACAAGCGGAAAGATGTGAGGGGCATTTGCAAAGGGGAGGTGGGACAGGAAAGACTCAGCCAGGAGAAGTCGCTGATGGAAAGCTTAACCCTTTACCTGCCTTCCATATTTCCACTGCAGCCTTGCTGTGGACCACTTTCCCACACTTTATCAGTAGACCCATCTGGGAGTTCAGTCAGCTGAGGACAAGTGAACAATGGGAAAGGTTGCAATGGAAAAAAGAGAAGGTTAGGTTAAGCCAGATCCTTCCACCTCTATGTTGATAATGTCTCTCCTCCCCAGTGGTATACATGTTGACAGCAGATGCAGAGGCGAGAATCCTATGTTTGCTGCTGAATTTCTGTGTCTGTCCAGATATATTAAGAAAGGGGCAGGCCTGCACAATTTGTGACCCAGACTGGTATCAAAAATCTATTGGCCTATGGCAGGGTTCAAGGCATACTTGTGTTTGGTTGCACAGGTCAAACATGTACATGCCTGCATTAAGGGCTTCAAGTCTAACTTTTACTTAGCTGTCCCTTGTCATATTAGAGTTTACCATCTTCTGTATGCTTCCCTTCTTCCCTCATATGTGTCCCCCAACATGTTACCTTGCTCAAGCAAGCAAGCAGTGCAGTGCACAGTGCAGCAGCTCCATCCAGTGCATGAGCAGGCCCTGTGTTGCTTCCAGCCGAAGACAAGTTCCCAAACTGCTTACCAGTGATTCAGTGCCTCAGTGTTACAAGCAACACGCTGTATTGCATGATTGATCTCTTAATGTTCTGAACTCGGGCTCACCTCTGTAAAATACAACCAAGACAATAAATGCCTGTAGACTGAATTAGTAGTCCGACCCCACCCCCGAATCAAATACCTCCTTGTACACAGATCCTTGAAATAGCCACAGTATAGAGAAGGTACATGAAAGAAACAATTGCCAAATCCTGTGCTCAAATCTTCAAGATGTTTGTCTTTTCTCCAGAGGACAGCTGTACAGAAAATGAACCTCTGAACTCTCTCTTATGCCACAATATTTTTATTCAAGGGGCTGGTTGAATAAAATATTGGTTTGTGAACCCTTTTGCTTTACCCTGTTTTTTTTCTGTTTTCCTGCTCTCTCTTTCTGATGGATAATCACAGTCCCAAAGGGCAAGTATATTCTTGTTGCTCAATTTCCTTCTGCTGTTGATATTTTCCTCTTATATTTCCATTCCTCCTGGATACTCTCCTTTGTATCCTTCATCTCAGGGTCCCCCCCCCCAATGGCAACTGTGTATTTCAAAGACAGAGAAGGAAAAACATGTATATATTATGGTGTCTTTTCTCTCCCCCATACCTCCCCAAATATGCCTTTCAGTTTATTGTTGGTTTCTTCCTTGTTCATTTGATCTTGTCAACCCAGGCGATTCATGAAGAAGCTCTGATTATCTTTTATCCCAGAAATCTGTGTTTTAAGCAACCCTGAAATGAACTGATGCTAAATAAAAATTTTAAACAAAGATTAAATTTTACAAGCCTTTTTGTTTTCAGTTTGGAATTCAAATTTTCAGTTCCCACATGGTCATACTTAAGCAGTCAACTATGTGCCAGCTGTAACTTTCCCCAGTTACTATATTGTTCCACATCATACTGATTCTAATGCACAGTTCCTCATTTAATGCAGAAATAACATTGATTAGCCAGGGGAAAACCTTTTCTGTACCAGATCCATACATTTGTGCTGACATATCTGTTTGGGATTACTGGCATAACATCACATCTCTATAATGCCTACATAATTGTATGCCTTGTGTCACTAATGCTCTTGGTGTGCCCTACCTGAAGCACTTAAGTGTTGGCAGATTCTAGAAATGGAGTTCCACTTTATTAGTATCCATGTGTCTGAATTCTTTTTTTTAATGTAAATCAAGGCAACTCTGTGGTATAAGAATCTAATTGAACCCTTCTGATGTTGTGTTTTCATCCTTGTAGTTACTGAAACTCTGAAGCTAGATCGTTTTGATGAGTTTGGCTACACGTTTTTAGCACCAAGGTTGGTCATTTTTCCTGCATTGTAAACCCTGAGGCCTAAACTGTAAATAAGACCCAATCAGCACAGTAATGATTTAAAAAACCTGGGGATAATTTCCCATCTAAGGCTGTATTTATGATGTTGGTATTGACATTTAAAGCTTTACACACACTGTAATCAGGGTTTCCTTGAGGATGACAGTCCAAATGAGCCTCAGTCATTTGTTGGGCCTTGTTCTGTGTGCCTTCAATGGCTGAAATGGGTTGGCATCCCCAAGGAACTGGAATTACCACCCCTTGAGAACTGCTTTACTGGCCTCCTCTTGGTCTTTAGGAAGCAAATGACTGGGTGTTTTTCCCACTAGGAAATTACTGTACTTCATTGAGAAGGTGGGGAGGGGGATTGCCAGTGCAATCTCAGTCATAGTTACATGCTTCTAAACCCATTGACTTCAGTGGATTTAGCATGTTGTAACTCTGATTAGGATTGCACTGTCATTTATATGTTGCCGTATTATGTGCATGAGTAAGGTTTTTAATGTGATTTTATATGGCTTTTTATTGTGCTTATCCACCTTAGGAGGCCAGAACTGAGTTGAAAGATTATGATAATTAATTAATTATGTTCTATCAAATTGCAACTGACTTATGGTGACTTCTCATGGGGTTTTCAAGGCATTGCCTTCCTCTATGTGGCAACTCTGATCTTCCTTGTGGTCTCCTATCCAAGCACAAACCATGGCCAGCCCTGCTTAGCTTCCAAGCTCTGACCAGCTTAGGCTAGTCTGGGATACTCAGGCTGCCAAAGCAAGATGATAGCAATATATTAAATACAGTTCTAATAGCTCAGAGCCATTTATATGTCAAAAAGGTGAAGGTTGGTAACTGAAGGCAGAAAGCCTTAACATGTCACAAGCAGTGTTCCCTCTAAGCTGAGTTAGTGTGAGCTAGCTCACAGATTTTTGGCCTCCAGCTCAGCAAGGATGGCTCCAGAGCAAACTAATTTATGCAGCATCCAAATTGCTCACTCACAACTTTAATGCACGTAGCTCACAAAGTAGAATTTTGGCTCACAAGACTCCACAGCTTAGAGGGAGCATTGGTCACAAGCCTACTTCCCTGCAGAGGTTTGGCAGCCAAACTGGAGTGTTCTTTGGAGGATCATCCACATGAGAACATGCTCTAGTTGTGTTCCAGTGGTTGTTTTCCCATCTTTAATATGCTCTATCCCAAACCTGATTTGCTATGATGTTTGGAGGAAGCATACAGTCTAGGGCTGCGGTCACACGCACCAGTTGAAGCAGCGGGGAAGTGAGGCTATTTTCTCCAGAGGAATTTGACACGCAGTTGCGAGATCACACCTCCCTTTGTAGCTGCGGGCTCAGCCTGTCACTGTGTGATCAGACGCAACTGCAGGTGAGTTGGGGGGGGGGGGGTTGGCCGTTTATTTCCCATGCGCATAAACGAGGAATCACACCTCTGCACTGAGGGCCCTGCGGAGTATCCGATGATGCTGGGAGGGCATGATCAGACCATCCCGACAGCATGAGAGTGTGCTTACGCGATCAGACAGGGGAAAGTCCATCCATGGCTTGTTGGAACCTGTTAGAGCCGGACTTTCCCTGGTGTCTTTTAACTCCGCTTCTGTGGTGGAGCAGCACAGGTTGCCGATGACTGTGGGACGCTTCCCAGATGTTGCTGTCTGATCGCTCCTTTTAGATCCATCAGGCATTCACACCTATGTCGGATCTAAAGGTACATGTGATCGCAGTCTAGGTGTGTTCTCATGTCATCAGCATAGGAAGGTGCTTATTTTAAAAAAAACACCCACATGTATCAGCACCATTTTCCTTCCATCAGTCCATACAGTTGCCTTTTTTCTTGCTATACTACCAGATAACTTTATAATAAAAAACCTTGTTAGTTACAATAGCACTTTAACATTATCATGCTATAGCATTTACCTTTAAAAAACAACAACAACAAAAAGCCTTCCAGTGTGTTGGAGGAAAAAAGGCAGGGAAAATGATGAGTGGCAGAAGAAAAGCACAGAATCTCCATTGGCCTATGTACATGGTTGCCTCTGCCATCACAGTGGTGTTGAATGCAAAATGGAGAATTCTCACCATATTGATGCAGACCAATTTAGCACTGATAAGTCAAAGAATACAGGTTTCTGTAGCCAGTCCTGGCAACAATTCATTAATTGGATCCCATGCTTCAGCTGCATGAAAAAGTACAGTTTCATAAAGATATTAATAGTAGCAGATAGGGTTGCCAAATAGTTTTCACTCACCGGCGGGGGAGGCTCCGTCCCGTCCGGGAGCAGTCCGTGCGTGCGCGCCGCCGCGACATCACCGGAAGTGACGTCAGACGCTACCGACGTTGGGGGCGTGGCCGAGCTCGTCGGGGGGGAAACATATGGTTTCCCCCCCTCCGAAGCGGGGGGTTACCCACCCCCCCGGGCACATTTGGCAAGCCTAGTAGCAGACCAGGGAACACAATATTAATATTGCAAGAAACAGAGAACACAAAAGGGATGGCCATGAGGGGGCTGTTGCATGACACTGCATAGAGTCTCATAATACCAATTTTACATTGTGTATCTTTGAAGAAGAACCTGAACATCAGAAATGCATCAGACTTTGCTTCTTGATAGATAAACTTCACTATGGACAGTTTTGTGCCATATGTAGTTTTAATTCATGCATGTTCCAGCTGTTAGGGTGTGATGAGCCATTTGTGTTCAGTGGCTTCACTATGCAGCTCTGTCAGGTTCATCCCTTTGACTGCAAACAGCTCTCCTAAGAGAAGGGGGGAGATGTTAAGATAATGTCACATGTAGTCTTAGACTTCAGCATTCCAATACCTTAATACACTGGCCCTAATAATCTAACTGACCTGACTGGCTGTGCAAATTTATTTTTTAAGTTGCTTCAGCAGCTGTTGCCCCCATAGCACAAGGATCTTGCCTTTAGTCAGGCAGTGAAGCTGTGTGTATGAAAGAAAATATTTTTAAATTATATGTTCATTTTAAAAGGCATCCTGTTAAACAGAGCTTCTACTTGAAATGTTGAAGAGTTATAATTAGAGTTATACATGATCTCATTTTGTCGTTGGCTCCACCTCTTCTAGAGCCATTTTACCATTGGCTCCACCTCCTCCAGCAGCCATTTTGTGATTGTACCCACCACCTTGTGTCAGAATTCCAGAGGTATCCACAAACTTTAAAAAGTAGGTGGCTTCTGTGCTAGACAAATGTAGCCAGAATCCATGACAAATTCTAGTACATTAGTTGAAGAAAATTGTTGTCAAATGCTTTAAAGGCAGTTCTAACACAATTGTGGGTTTTTTTCTCCTCAGAGATTATTGTACTCCCGTAAAAATAACTGACAATAATACTGATTTTCTTCAAAATTTCAATGAATTTATTGATCGACATACCCCCAAAAGCCCTTTATGTAAGTATTGCCAATTTCATTATGCTTGAACAGGCAATGTGGTATAATGGTTAAACTGTTAGCCTGGAAGGGGGGAGTTTAGGTTCAAGTCCCAGATCATCTGGATGGTTGTGACTGTAATCATAACCTAGTTCATAGGGTTGTGGCAAGGATAAAAGGCCCCTCTGAGTTCCTCTTTAAAAGTTCTTCAGAACTTTATCAAATTAGCATCACTTCTAAATATTCATAACAAAAACAAGTGTAAAACATTACCAGTTTTCACTTTAGCTGGGTGTTTTGTTCAAAATGTGCTCATCTCCTTTTATAGGCAATGATATGGTTATGAGAGTTTTACTGGATGCTGGATTTACGAGTGAACTTGTTCAGGAACATTGGAGTAAGCAGGACCCGTGAGTATTCTTTTCATCAAGTTAAGGAATATCAGAACAGTGCCTGGATTTCTAATCCTCCAAACAGATTACTGGATTTAAGCATGTGCATATTTAAGCATTTTGTAATTGTGTTATGGGTTGAATCCAAAGAATTATGTGCAGAGTTCCACCTAGGGAACAGATCTTTCCCAGTTCTACGTATTTTCTGCCATAGAATTTCAAAAGAGCCTGTTCCTCCTGCAAAGCTCTTCCTAAGCATCCACCTAGGGAACAGATCTTTCCCAGTTCTACGTATTTTCTGCCATAGAATTTCAAAAGAGCCTGTTCCTCCTGCAAAGCTCTTCCTAAGCATCCACCTAGGGAACAGATCTTTCCCAGTTCTACGTATTTTCTGCCATAGAATTTCAAAAGAGCCTGTTCCTCCTGCAAAGCTCTTCCTAAGCATCAGGGGACCCATGGCAACATTATGGGATTCTGACTTTCTTGTTTGAACAGAAGACTCTTCTGCTCACAAAAGGGCACATTTGGATACCGCTCTTTATATACAGCATTGGCAATAACTTGGATGCAAATGGTTGTGTTTTTTTCCCATAGTGAAGGAATTACAGCACGGTTTGTAGTGACTGATGGAGGGATCACGAGAGTGTATCCACGAAGGTAAGGGTCCATTTTTTTCCTAAGCAATGCAACAACAGATATGTAGATACACTTAATTGGCATAAGTGTGCCCAGGATTGTGGCCATCAATCTTCCAAGCTTTTGTTTAAGTTTATACTTGAAAATGGAATACTGAAGTTATAGTCTTGAGATACGAAACAGGAGCACATGAGTCACCAAAATACAATGTTCTGACCCAGTCATAGGAAAGGTGACAATTTCCAGAAAATTGTGGTGCCCCACCGTATGTGCCAGCATTGCGGGGAGGGTGGGGTATAAATATGATTAATACATAAATAATACATTTATTGATTTATTTGTTTATTATGTTCGGCTTATGGCCTGCCCTCCCCTGCAGAGCAGGGCTCAGGGTGGGTAACAACAAATACCAGCAACAACCATACATTCAAACTGAAAGATCAACAAAGTTTTATTCCGGGTATACGTTTTGTGTGCATGCACACATCTTCAGAAGTTGGTCTTAAAGCTATATACTTGTATTAATGTCTTTAATGTTTCAATTATTCTCTACCATGCTTATTGCAAATTTACTTAAAAAAGCAGGTACTTGCGAAGTATCTATTCTGAAATGTTCTGAAATGTATTTTACAGGAATTGTTGTTTATGTTAATATTCTGAATATACAATAAAAAATTTAAATTAAAAAAAAGAAGTTGGTCTTAAAGATGTCACTGGACTCCAACTTTGTTCTGCTGCTTTAGACCAACATGGCTACCCACCTGAATCTATCAAAATGAAAAATAGACATTTTTTTTCATGTTCAGCGCAGGCTACTATTGGACAGAAAATCCCGAAACGTATGAGGATAGTTTCTACAAGAGGAGCTTAGATAATGAAAACTATGTCTTCACAGCTCCATTCTTCAACAGTAAGTGGCTGGATACACAAAAGGACAGTTTATTGACAATGTTCAGTAAAATGCTAGCACACTTGAAATCATTTAAACTAATGCACAGTCCAGCTTGTTTAAAAGAGCATGGGATAGGTGGGAAAAGTGCTAAGGAAATCCCACTTGCAGATGTACTGGAAACAGGAATGCAGTTGGTGTGTATGTTAGTTTTGGGGTGGGAAGTGGCAACACAAATGCCAAGCATCAAGATAATTTGAGGTGGCATGTGGAAATATGACAGTGATTTTCAAGGCTCTAATCCTTGACCTTTACTTTCTGCTGCAGTAATAATAAATGCTGTGGCCGGTATCCTTCCACTTTGCTAACTCAAGCCTTCCTCTATTCTAAGCAGCCTTCCTCCGACTCAAGTTCTCCAACAGAAGAGCCAACTTAGAGTGGAGGAGGACTCCTTAGTTGGGACTGTTAGGCTTAGTAATTGGTACACTAAAACATAGGTATGGTATAATCTGTTTTATGCACCTGTGGAAGTTCAAAAGACTGCTGGCAAGTCATACCAGTGTTCCAAATAGCTATGCCTCAGGAAATAATGCCAAGGGATTTGTGGGAAGTTGCAGTTAGTTAGGGTATTCTCTGGTGTTAAGGTTTTCTTCAAAAGCTTCTTCCCGGCAAGGAATTATATTCTGAATTACAAGTTGACATATGTACAAATGTCTTCAGTCCCAAGACACCAGGACGGGGAGATTTATGAATCCCTAACATTGAGGCAATGTACAAATGTGAGTATTGGTAACCTCAATAAGGTAGAAAATTATTCATACTAAAAACTGTAGCACTCTGCTGCACATGTGAAGTTGTACAAACAGTGTTTGGAAATCAAAATCAGTGGCTCATTGGTCCCATTCTGGAAAAGATTAGAGAACTTCTAAGCCCAAAGTCTGGGGACAAATTTCAGTGAGGAGAATTTTATTAGCAGCTCTAGTCAGACCTAGATTGTGATAAGTTTTCACAGCTGTGAGGCATACACCAAAAATATCCACTGTCTTCTCTTAAAAATGGAGAACAGGCAGAAGAGGAAGGAATTGGGGTTATTGAGCCATGACCCATTCCTGGCCTTAGGCTAGGAGTAGCAGTTGAACTGCTTTCTAAGTGGGCTGCATGTGGTTGGTCTCTGAACAAAAGCCCAGAATGCTAGGGTGGATGACAGGAACCATGCCTGAGACTGTACTACTAACTACAGTGAAAACCTCTTACCTTGAAAGACCCAAGCCTAAGTTCCTTTGTTACAAATATGGATGGAGGGGGTTCGATGTGCTACCCCATAGCTCTCTGTAAAATGCCAAGTATTCATGCCCACTTTGTAGATGAGAATTGGGTATTGTCCAAGGCGTTTAACTTAACACATACCAACATCAACAAGATCCTCTGTATATGCAGAGTTAATTCAGTGGGGCAAATAAAAAATTACCTCCTGTTACTGCCATTAAGCATCTATTTAGCACTCTGTAAATGCACCCCATAATTTCCTTTTACAAAGTAATGACTACACAGAAAACATAGTTAAGTTAATGAACCTTGCACATGTTATGGCTTTAGGTGCCTGATTTGACCCAAGGAGTTTTTAAAGGGCAATCAATCATATTGAACACATGTTATCTGACTTTCATCATTGGTAAAGTCAGTTTATTTAAGAATCAGATTGTTGTGCAATCATCTATTAAACTCTGCTGTCTTTCTTCTAACTCAGGAAGTAGCGAAGAAGATGGCATTATGGTAAGCAAAGCTGTGAAAATAACTGTCGGTGGAAAACTTCTGAAGCCTGCAGGTAGGAAGGAGTAAGACTGACTTTCTCCCAAGAAATGGGGCTGGTTGCTGAGCACAGCAGAGTCCACTGTTTCTAAGCCTAGCTGTTGTTGCATAGGTTTGTTGTATCACAGCACTCCCCAACATAGTAGACCCACCAATTTGTTCCTTTGTGTCTGCTTCATTCTTGACTATTGGGGATAAAATCAAAAGGGTCTTGAATTGAAGAGAAAAAAGAACAGAGAACTTTGGGTTATGACTAGCAGACTTTGTCCTGGGCAGAAGCATCACAGCTATGTGCCCTTGGCTTGACCATAGGCACAGTGCCACTTAGTAACCAGTTTTTGATTAGCCTTGCTCTCAGGGCAGCCATTTGGGGTGGCACCCACTATCCTTTCCCCAAGTTCCAGAAGTGGCCACAGGCTCAGAAACTTTGGGAGCCCCTGTTTTACTACCTACTTTCTCTTTGATCATGCTAAAGTTCTCAAATGTTTGAGGTTTTGTTGTTGTTGTTGTTGTTGTTTTGGGGGGGATGACGTTATTTTTGCAGAAATCACATTTTGTAGGCCAGCAACTGAGTCAAAAGAATATGTTCTGTTGCCCTGACCGGGATAGCCCAGGCAAGCCTGATCTCGTCAGATCTCGGAAGCTAAGCAGGGTCGACTCTGGCAAGTACTTGGATGGGAGACCTCCTTGGAATACCAGCAGTCAGGAGGTGGGGGCAGGCTTTATCCAGCGGCCTCTCTGAATATCCTCCAGGCCCCCAGTAGGGGTCAGTCACTAGAGGTCACCATGACTTCCACGTGCACACAAATGCATGCATGCACATATGAAAAATACAAAAAAGAAATATGTTCTGTTATTAAACACCTGGAAATGCTGTATATTTACATTTTTCTTTGTGTTTTGTATATTTCCTGCTAGTTGTTGGAGTAAAAATCAATATAAGCAACTGGATGGAAAACTTCACCAAAACCACAACCAAGATCCAGGTGAGCACCTGACCTGCCATCTTTTCAGTATCCATGGAAATGTCTCAATTTCTTAAAGATGTGTGATGCATCCTGCAAAGCATTTCATGAATGATGGCATCTTCCTCCAATGCACAGTGCTTTCTGCTGACACAATAGGCTGATTTCGCACTAGAGCTGCCT